TGGATATCTAATAATATCATCTTCCTTATGTGTAATGGATGTATACTTGAAATTCTCATAATTTTTTTCCAAATGTGTATCTAAGGAAGATTCTATAAGATCACATTGTTTTCACTTTAAAGAGACTAACAAATGTATTCAAGAAAAACTAGTAAGCACACTGGAGGCAATATTTTGATTAGTTACTGCTTATTTTGAAGATAAATGTGTTTCAAGATTTTATTCTTTTCCCAAATTCATGTATATATGTATGCCACTTCAGGTTTCAATTACACATTCCACCGTTGCTATGGAGATTAGCAATTTACTCAAAGTTAGGAGATAACATAGTCAAGGAATGTAAACCAAGCAGAGTCTGTGCAGAAGAAAGCTTGCCTAGGTAGTTTCACTTTCAGTAGGAATGCACAGAAGAGAAGTCAAATCCAGTCAGAATATCAAATAGCCAAGTCAGATTTGTCAGCCAGTCCAACATCAGAGTTTCATGACCAGGGTTCACAGGAATGACACGCCAAAGCAGGAAATAAGTTCTTTCCAACACAGGAACATGGGTCAGAGTTGCCTCTTAAATCATGCTGTAGCCAACTGTCTTTAATCAAGAGGGTTATTCCCTTGCTTGGCAAGGAGTCTCATAGAATGTTTTTTCTCTGCTCATTGCTCTACTTGCTGTGCAGGGCTGGGAGGCCTAACGTCATCATCTTAATGCTGATATGTTTGATGAGTCTCAGATGATTCTTAGCTTTGTGTCTCCTGAGGCTGACATTCTATAGGTTCTGCTGGAGCAGATGCTCCAAAATCAGATTCAGAGACTGAATGCAATGCCAAGAAAGTATGTTAGGCATTAATGAAGCGAAATCAAAAGACTTCAACATTTGAAGGACAAATCATGCTAACTCACAACATCTTTACATTAAATCTATGGTAGTAAGCTATAGGGCAGGGGTGTCAAAGGCAAGGATTGTGGGCCGCATCTGGCCCGCGTGGTGTGTAGATACGGACCATAGGGCTGCCCTGGAAACAGTGAAGGATTGGCCTGCAGTGCCTCTGCCAGTGAAAATGGAGTTCAGGAGGCCCATACGCGGGGCTCCAATGCCCCGTTTTTCAGCCGCAACAGTCTCCTGCAATCCTCTGCCAGTGAAACAGAGTTTATCGGCCCAACCGAGTTCCGTTTTCCCTGGCAGAGGGCTCAGGATGCCACAGGCGCCCCGGACACAAGTGACATCAAGCTGGCCACGCCCACCCTGGCCCCCGAGGTCAAACACAACCCTGATGTGGCTGTCAATGAAATCGAGTTTGACACTCCTGCTATAGGGTAAAGAAAACATGTGCATTCAGGGCAAGTGCACTTCATTTGGCTTACTCGCATCATTGCATGTTTTTATAAGTGAGACAATACACATCCTTTCATGTGTGAGTCAGTGCAAAGTTCACATCTTTGCCTTGAAGGGCTTATGCTTATATTAATTGCAGTGTCTTTGCTTGTATTTTAAGCAGCTTAGTTTTAGGGAGGAGTAGTGTAGCTTTAGTTGTATGATTATTTTGAAATTATTAGCACTCTGTTCCTTTTGTTTGTGGAACACACTTTGAAGGACTTGGTTTTAAAAGTGGCATAGGTGTTTTTTAAGTAAAAAGTTATTACCTTTGGATGACCTGTGTTAGCTGCAACAAAAAATAGATGCAAGACATTTTATATAGAAATCTCAGAGGATAGTACATGCACACTCAGAGCTTACTGAGTCGCCTTGGTAAGTGTTACACTCATATCACATAATCCTCACTGGAATGAACATCTAGGACATTATGGGAACCAAAATCATGGCACTAAATATCAAAATCTATTTCAACTAAATAATTTAGAGAGATTCCCCCCAAACATCTGATAAGATTATTCTTATGCTACTTATAAGTTAAGTTTGGTGGTGGCCATATTTTCTTGGAAGGGAGGAATGAAGAGCAAACCTGAAAAAGGGGCAAATTGAAAAGAGGTTCGGGACAAAAAAAAAATGTTTACATTTATAATTTTGCTTTCCCAAAAAAATTTAAAAGAAAAATTTAAAACTTTATAAGATTTTACATATTCTAATAAAAATATATAAAATCAAATACTATATATAAGTTTATTTTATCAACACAATTCAATTTCCATATTTTCACCTGAATGTAAAATTCAGTGGTTGTGCATTCACTGATATATTTTTGCAATAAAAGTTAAAATGATTTCGTCCTTCAAAGTGGAGAGAAATTGGAGAAAGCAAATATATTTGCAATTCTCATCTTGTTCCAAGTATTCATCAAAAAGAATTGTAAAATGTTTTTCATTAAAAATAATCTTTACTGATAATAACTTGTAGAATCCAAAAGGTGCTTTTAAGATATTTATTCTAGGGCACAAATATACATATAAAGATTCAGCTTCTAACAATGGAAGAATTCTTTTTAAGTCTTTCTAAAAGTTTCATAATATTCTATATACATTGTGGAACATTTTTTGTTCATGCTGTTCTATCATGTTTTTGGTGTTTATATAAGTCAGTTGTAAATGATTTGAAAGATTCATGATCAGATTTTTTTTTTTGCAACATTGTACAGCTTTTTGGGTGAGAAAAGTGTTTTAATCATTTGGCCTGATTATTTTTTCAGTTATTGTAGCCAGTCAGGGGTATTTGAAAAGGCAAATAGTGCTGTCAGAGTTTTAAAAAGTCCTTCAACTTCAGTCTTCAAAGCATCTTCTTAAACCTGTTAATTTATGGAATAGTTCTGTCACGTTTAGTTTGTGTTTCTTCATATTCCAGGCTGAAGAGTTGAATTGGCAAGTCATAAATTTAACAAGTAGGCCTTGTTTCCACAGCTGTCCTGTTCTTACTGAAATAGTACACTGTTTCTATATTATATCACTTCTGACACAGACTCGTAGAATTTCTTCCCCACAGAATAAATCAGCATGTTGGAGAACTTATCGCTTTATGTGGTCTCTTTACATACTGGCATATGTGACATCTTTATTTATTTAATGGAGTGAGTTTCATACTTGAAACCCCCCTTTTTTTCCTGAAGTTGCCATAACCTAGGAGTTTATCAATTGAATTTAAAATAGGTTTTTATTCAAGACTTTTTAATTCTTGAAAGAAGTAGAAAACTCACTCCAATAGATTGTGGTTGGATAGGGAAAGAGAGAAAAAGAATTTGTAGGAGATGTATATTTTGAAACTATCTCCCCATCACTACCAATATATAATTTTATTAAAGATGTTTAATTTCTGGACAGAGTTCAGTTGAAACCTCTGCTGGTTTCATATTTTGTATTTCTTATTCTTGCAAATCTTGTATTTATTCTATATATTTTATCATTTTCTGCCTCTCAATCCTCATCCCAATTTAAAACAATTGCTGTAAATAACCTTCTCCAATGAACTGCTCCGAGCATCCAACAGTGGGAGGTGGTTAGACTTAGTTCTGATAGGCTGGGCTTGATTGATAGGACGCTCCTCCTCCTCCTCCATGTACTCCTCCTTAGCATCCCCCAGTTTTAGCTCAGCCTTCGTGAGGTAGGCAGCTTGATTGTTCCTTGGCTGGACTAGGAGAAATTAAACAGGTTTGGATTAGAACTTAAATCATTTCTAGATTCTTTTTTCAAAAGACCCATTATTCGGATGGCAAATTGGCAAAGACTGCCATCAGAACACAGATCAGCTCGCCAGAGAGCACTCAGCTCTCAACAACGACTTGACATTGTGAAAGCACTCACAACGACTTGACATTGCGAAAGCATTTTAAAAATTGCTGTAAATAACCTTTTATTTAATATCTTCACCAGACTCTTCTGGAATTGCTCTAAATATCAAACAAAATTCCTTCTCTTCCAATTCCAATACAGCCAGATTCTCTTTCGAACTCTCACTTATGTCTTATTTTTGAGAATTTCTACTTGGTTATTAAATTGCTTTACATTTCCAGACACTTGTTTTACAGAGCTTTGCAACTTTTTAACTTCGTTTTATCTACTCTTTCATCTTTAAAGATCTTTCATTGGTTCTTTATTCAAAGCTGTGAATTTGGTATTTGATGAGTATCGATAAGTGATTCAGTCAATTTAATATCAAATGATTTAACGAACTTGCTACCCAGTTTTTAAAAATATTTTTTAAAGTTTACAAATATAAATATAAAAAACTAATACAAACTAAAAGTACAAAAAGGCAAGAGAAATAGTGCAGAGAAAAAGAAAAATATATAATAAAATAAATATATATATATGTATAAACATGACTTCCCCCTGCCTCCAGACAAGTACAGACAATTAATTTATCATCTTCTCCAATATTTCAATAAAAGAGCTCTTCTTTCTATATCTCATCTCTTATCAATGAACATATTTCTTACATCTATTCCTGGTTAAGCTTTTTTGTCAAATCTTTTTAAATCTTTTATTTCTCTTTGTAATCCAAAAAGAATGTTAACCTACCAAGTGAAATTTTCTTGCCTGCTGCTCAGAAAATCTCTGTTTAGGTGTAATATAGACTACAGTATGGCTGTAAGCCTGATTTAAATTCCCCACTCCCAGTCATTTAACTCACAAGCCAACCAAAAAACCCCCTCAGTTTCTGCTCTTTTTCCCAAGGACCACCTGTCTAGAGTACAAGTGGATGATCGCACAAATTTTCCTTTATCCAGCTGGCCAAAATTCACCATCTGGAAGCCAATTTTCTCCATTATCCCCACTTGTTCACCATGAATCCTCTCCAGAAACTTTGAAGCTATCTTTTCCCATTATCATACAACCACCTATTCTACCAAATTATTACTTTCTAAGAAACAAGATAAGTGATTAAGTCTTGGCAAATTTTTCATATAATTTGAATGTTGGCTTAGAATTTAGACATTGATGTTGATATTACAGCAATTATGAAGTTGTTAAAATGTATTGTGGCTATTTAGAACAGATTATGTACTTGTTTTGAGAATTAGTCATGTTTAACTCAAGGCATGTGTGGTTTTTTTTCCAGAAAATATACCAGATGAGCTTCGAGAACCATTTTATACAGACCAGTATGACCAGGAACATATTAAACCTCCTGTGGTTAACTTGCTGCTGTCTGCAGAACTTTATTGTCGTGCGGGAAGTCTCATCCTGAAGAGTGATGCTGCTAAGCCACTCCTGGGTCATGATGCTGTTATCCAAGCTTTGGCACAAAAAGGCCTCTATGTTACGGACCAGGAGAAACTGGTAACAGAGAGAGACTTGCACAAGAAACCTATTCAAATGGTGAGTGTTGGCATTTCTGTGTTAGTTCTTGATTGTTCCTTATAGCATTAGTACTCTTAGAAGCACTACTGGGGGTTCCCCCCAGTTTCAATACATTAGCACGTAAAAGATCATAAACTGAAAATACAAAAGAGCTACAGAGTTGAAGAGATGAATTATATAGTTCTTTCCTATTGCCCCAACAGCCTGAATCATTCCAGTTCGAAAATCTTGGTAATTGAAAAGATGGGTGTTTTGCATATTTATTTAAGATTTTTGTCTCGCTTATACAAATTTGGATTCAAATTTAGTATGAATAGTCAGTGCAATTGAATCAGTGGGACAACTTAGGCACGATTGGATGACTTAAATGAATCTCTTCTAAGTCTGGATCTGATTTCCCATGCTTTTTGATTAAAAGAGTGTAATTTATCTGTCCATATAATCTGTTCATTTGTGCTTTGATTAAAACATGTTGAAATGGCTTTAATATTGTATTTAAATTTTGGGTTGGAAGTTGTTGATATCAAATAACTATTTTAAAGAGGTTATGAGCTTATGTGGCACAGTGGTTAGAACACAATATTGCAGGCTAATTCTGCCAGAAGTTTGATTCTGATCAACTTAAGGTTGACTTAGTCATCTTCCGAAGTTGGTAAAATGAGGACCCAGATTGCTGGTGGCAATATGCTGATTCTGTAAACTGCTTAGAGAGGGTTGTAAAGCACTATGAAGTGGTATATAAGTATAAATGCTATTGTTATTGCTATTCAATTTGAATGTTACAGTTGTATGTAATTGCATGCAATTGTAGAAATACAAAACATAGTGGAAATATTTCAGTGACTTTTTCTGATGCTGTCACTAAGGTATTTGACAAGTACTTGCCTTAAAAATTACCATCTGTTTAGCTGAATGAACAGTGTAGGATTAAAGTCAATATTATAGCAGATACCTAGTATTTTACTCTGTGTTTTGGATGAAGGGGTAGCAGTATCGAGAAGTGTTGATGTTTTTAAACTGATTATTATATAATTCAGTTGATGAAATCTGGATTTTTAGTGACAGAAAGGATGGAACATTGGAGCTTTAAAATCCAGAATTTAGTCCAAGAATATTTGATATCGATTCTTAGTTTTTCTATCCAGTGTGCAGTTGCAAAAAAAAAGAAAAGTTGGATAGAATTTGGTATATTTTCTGCTTCCGTGGGATAACTGCCTCCAATCAGCTGGCACAGAAGGCAACAAGGGAGCATTGCCAACATTCTTTGCGGTGCTCAACAATTGTGTCCAGCATAAATGTTTGGGAGAATAGCTGAGAACAGTTCATTATGAGTAAGACTATTTTGATGGTGCAGTGGGGAAAGAGACAGAGACTGGCTTAGAATAATTAAACACCCACCCATCCCAAAAAATATTGAGAATATTTCCCTATTCAAAAAAACTAAAATTGGATAAATGAAAAACTTTTACCAAGATCTTTGGTAGGAGTGCAATGAATTATGAACCTAAGCATAAACCCACACAAATGCATCATGGGAAAAATACATGCATATATAAAATCCAAATGAGGTGACCTGCTCAGGTAATCTTCTTAAATGAAAGATTAGAGAGAAAAGCAACCATATGAAATAAATCTTGGTCCAAAACCTTGTTAAAGACATCTAAAGCAGGGGTGTCTAACCTTGGCAACTTTAAGACTTGTGGACTTCAACTCCCAGAATTCCTCAGCCAGCTTTGCTGGGAGTTGAAGTCCACAAGTCTTAAAGTTGCCAAGGTTGGACACCCCTGATCTAAAGCATAAGAAAACAGGCAAAAGGGCAAGAACACTTCATTGTAGATTCTGGAATTGAGAGAAAAGTATCACAGACTTTTTGTCTCTCTTTACCTTGTTATAACTTCCTCTTCTACAGCATTTTGATACATTTTGATTTTAAAAAATGGCATCAATGCCTTTTTTTTATACATGAGCTAAATCAACAGGATAATGCAAAAAAAGAAAATTATAGCAACAGTGGCAGAAGGTACCTCCTGATGAAGTTTGGTGGTCAAGGGGTCTAACCATTATAAGGCTTTTCATGTTAAAACTATTCAGGTAGTCCTCGGCTTACAACAATTCATTTGATGGCCATTTGACATTAGAACATCACTGAAACAAAAAGTGACTTATGACCATTTTTTACGTTTACGAGCATTGCCACATCCCCATGGTAACCAGATCAAAATTCAGGCACTTGGCAACTGACTCATATCTATGATGATTGCACTGTCCCAGGGTCATATGTACCCTTTTTACAACCTTCTGACAAGCAAAGTCAATGGGGAAAGCCAGATTCACTTAACAACCGTGTTACTAACTTAACAACTGCAGTGATTCTCTTAACAACAGTGGCAAGAAAGATGGTAAAATGGGCCAAAAGTCACTCAACAAATGTCTCAACAGAAATTTTGGGCTCAGTTGTGGTTGAGGACTACCTGTGTAGCATAAAATGTTACAAAATGTAACAGAAAAATATAGAGATATAAAATATCACAACAGATAAATGGCTATCTTACAGTTTTATGAATTGTTGAGAAATTTGGCTCTAGCTGCCGTGTTTCTCATATAATAAGGCCGGGTCTTTTTTTTTTTTTTTTGAGCCCCGAAAAAACGGCTAGGCCGTCTTTTCGGGGGTGACTTAATTCCCCACCTTGCATCTTCGGGTGGGTGGGTGGCGACGGCTTGGATGTTGACCTCGGCGTTAGTGGGGTACTTTGTATCAGGGTCAACACAGGCAGCACCATATCCGGGTGTGCAACAAAAGTACTTCCTAACAGCAAGCCCCCCTGCCATTTCCCCCCCCATTTCGCATGTTTTAATATAGGCCTTAATTTGGGGGGAGGGGCTTAATTTCATTTCATGCCTATAAAACATGCTTCCTATTGGGGGAGGCCGTATTGTTGGAGAAACAGGGTACCTAATTGAAACATTTTTCTCATCTTATACATTTCATTTTTGCCAATTTAAAAGAAATCTCCAAGAGGAAACTATGGGTTCCCATTTCTTGCTGTCTTCCATAAATATAAGCGGATATGAACTCCTTAAAAATATTCTCTTCTGAACCAAAGGAGATTTTTCGAGAGGCAACTGGACTTTCTTGTTTTTCTTTGAAGTCTTTTTGCTTGTCATCCAAGAAGCTTCTTCAGCTCTGACTGGATGGTGGGGAATGGAAGGATTTATAAAACCAGCTGTCTGCAAGAAATATAAATCCTTCCATTCTCCAGAATGGTTTTGACAGGATCCGTGTATGGGATGTATTCAGCTCTGTTTGGCTATATACTGAATAGAAAATCTGAAGACACACCCCTTTCCGGGCCATCATCCCCAGTTCTTCTATTCAGTCTCTGCTGATATAGACGGCTGCTAGATTGCTCCTCTATTTTTCAGAGATAGAGTGGTGTTGGCAGCTTTAAATCTTTTTTTTTTTTTTTGTCTATCCACCCAACAATCCTTAAGGGTCTAAAAGCACCACGTGGTTTTTTTAAACAGCCCAGGTGCATACTTCAATTGCCAGAAGGCACAATATTTCCCTATTAGTTCTGGGAGGGAAGTTAGCACAGTAACCAATCACAGATTCTCAAGCATTGCTCCCAAAGACCTAGATAAGGGGATTTGGGAGCATCGAAGTGTTTTTCTGCCAGCGGGGCAGCCTGCCCATTTTAAGGGAGCCCCCACCATCCAGTCAGAGCTGAAGAAGCTTCTTGGACAAGGGGATAGATGGGGAACTCATCAAATTTGCAGACAACACCAAGCTGGCAGGAATAGCCAATACTTCAGAAGATAGGCTTAAGATACAGAAGGATCTTGACAGACTTGAACATTGGGTGCTATCTAACAAAATGAAATTCAATGGTGAAAAAAGTAAAGTTCTACATTTAGGCAAGAAAAATAAAATGTACAGGTACGGTATATGTGGTACTTGCTCAATAATAGTAACTGTGAGAGGGATCTCGGAATCCTAGTGGACAATCATTTAAATGTGAGCCAGCATTTGTTTGTGCAGCAGATGCCAAAAAAGCCAGCACAGTTCTAGGCTGAATAAACAGAGAGATAGAATCAAGATCACGGGAAGTGTTAATACCACTTTATAACACCTTGGTAAGGCCACACTTGGAGTGTTGCATTCAGTTTTGGTTGCCACAAATGTGAAAAAGACTCTAGAAAGAGTACAGAGAACAGCAACAAAGATGATTAGGGGACTGGATAAAACATATGAAATATGGTTGCAGGAACTGGGTATGTCTAGTTTAATGAAAAGAAGGACTAGGGGAGACATGATAGCAGTGTTCCAATATCTCAGGGGCTGCCACAAAGAAGGAGTCAAGCTTTTCTCCAAAGGACCTGAGGGAAGGACAAGAAGCAATGGGTAGAAACTAATCAAGGAGAGAAGCAACTTAGAACTAAGGAGAAATTTCCTGACAGTTAGAACAATTAATCAGTGGAACAACTTGCCTCTAGAAGTTGTAGATGCTTCAACACTGGAAATTTTAAAAAATATGTTTGATAACGATTTGTCTGAGGTGGTGTAGGGTTTCCTGCCTGGGCAGGGGGGTTGGACTAGAAGACCTCCAAGGTCCCTTCCAAATCCGTTTTTCTATTCTATTCTAAAAACAAAGTCCAGTTGCCTCTTGAAAAAGCACCTTTGAGAGTGTGTGCTCTGTGATGAAAGCACCTGCACAATGCCACAATGCTAGCACGCACAAGTAGGGGGTGCGCGTATGCACACACACCTGCACTGGCCAGCAATTCATGCGGCCCAGGGGCCAACAACCCACAGCCCGGTAATTGGCCACAGTCCACAAGTTGGGTGCCTCTGAGCTAGAGATTTGCCCTATTCTAGACAGTTAAGAAGCTTGTTAGGATTAAAAGTGTGCATATAATTTACTGAATATAGTCAGGAGTCTACACAATAATTGGAACAGTTTTAGAGAGTAGCCTCTGCCCTGTGTGTGTATCCATATATACATATTCACCTCTCTATT